CTTCGGCTCAGGTCATGATCCTGGAGTCCAGGGATCGAGTCCCGCATCGGGCTCCCTGCTCGGCGGGGAGTCTGCTTCTCCCTCTGACCCTCCCCTTTCTCATGCTCTCTCTCTCTCTCTCTCATTCTCTCTCTCAAATAAATAAATAAAATCTTTTAATAAAAAAAAAAATCTTAAAAAAAAAAATAGTACTCAAAATTTTGGAGTCAAACTCTGGGAAAATTTCTCCCATCATCATCTTTCTTCATTGTTAGAGTTCCCAATGGGGAAAACAAAACAAATATATGTATGTAAAACCCTGGAGAAATAAAAATGCAGCCACTTCTACTCTCCCCAATAATTTACACTTTAAGTAAATGTGACAACACTAGAATTTAACTCCTAATAATCTACAATTCATTGTGCATGGTACCTAGTAGGTGTTCAGTGTTTGTTGTTAAATGAATACAAATATTTGATACACAAGCATTTTCTTTGTTAATGTGCATTTATCATTCTACTCATTAAAAACACATCTTAACACACACACACAACCACATTGATATCTACTCCTGAAAATGCCCTCATAACAAGAAGTGGAAAATCAGTATGATACAGTGGAACAGGATGATGACAATTAGAGAAATTATGAAGGGAAATTCCAAACACTAAATGTTTCCAGTCTTTTTGATGTCACTTATATTGATTTCCATGGAAATTGACAGGTGTCTGCAAAAAATCTATTCCTACTTCAAAACTTCAGGACTGCTCTTGACCACAATATCACACATAATCACATCTTTTTACATCCATTTAAATGCCTTATCAGAAAATTTACATTTGGGGCGCCTGGGTGGCTCAGTTGGTTAAGCGACTGCCTTCGGCTCAGGTCATGATCCTGGAGTCCCGGGATCGAGTCCCGCATCGGGCTCGCTGCTCAGCGGGGAGCCTGCTTCTCTCTGACCCTCCCCCCTCTCATGTGCTCTCTCTCTCTCATTCTGTCTCAAATAAATAAAATCTTTAAAAAAAAAAAAGAAAATTTACATTTGAAGGGAAGTCACTTACCTACAAGTAATATGCAATATGTTCAACTAACCTCAACAGAAATGAATATTGCTATCACTTATCATTTAAAGAGTACCTATCAGAAATACAGGTAATTCTCATGCTAGTGGACAAACGTTTTTACTAACCACTCATTTCAGTTCGTTGAACAAGTATGCCTAAATCTGCATATTTTGTACTTCAGACAAAATATAGGTAGAGAAATGTGCTGGGATTTGTTTTGTTTAGGGTTATCAGAAGGCACCATAGAGTTTAACTCCACGGAATTGTTTACCAGCAAGCAGGTCGGTGTTCCGAAGAAGAAAGCCATAGAACATATGCAAAATAAGTCTCTTTCAACATAATTTTTTATATAGGGAATAGACGGGAGTGCAAAACACATCAGTCATCAGTAACAAAAAAGAATCTTTGTCCCTCGCTATTTGTAAACAGGAGCTCGGGCCAGCGCTCCGACCAGGCACCCAGGAGGTGAGGAATGATTGTTGGGCAGGGTTTTGCCCATCACGAAGCGTTCCGCAAGGGCTGCCCGGGAGGCGGACCTCCTCCTGTACCAGGCACGGTCCTCGGACCGAGACAAAGCCCTACGAGAACTCTTCTGCTTCCAGCTTGGGGGCTGGAGTCAACCGTCTCTGCTTAACTTCCCTGCAGTTATCCCCGCATTCTTAAACCCCACTATCTCCACTTTGCCAGGCACCCCGAATCCACCGCGGCTCCGGCGGCCCCCGATCCCGTGGCCCCTCCGAGCCTGTGCGCTCCGGGAAGCGCACCCGGGCGGCGCCCCCGTAGGCGGCTTACCGAGCAGCGAGCCTATGAAGATGACGACCTGCACGGTGGTGGTGAACTGGCGGTACAGCTGAGCCTCGCCGAACTCCCCGAGCGCGCTGCGGTTGGCGCTCCCAGCCTCCGCGCCCGACGCGTTGCGCGGCTCGCTGGCGTTTCGGGAGATCCAGCTGCCGTTGTGCCCCATGTCGAGGAAGGGTTTCCGGCTCCACTCGTCGCCCGCCCGTCCGCCCACCTCGGAGCCCAGCCTGGGTCGCTCCTGCCCCGGGTGCGTGGAACACGCGGGCGCCTGGTGGAGTCCTGGAGAACCCGGGGCAGCCTCGGGTCCCCTCACCTCTCCACATCGCCAGCCCCGGCGCCTGGGAGGTGGGGAGGGAAGAGGGCGAGGCTGCGCCCCAAGCGGGTTCCCTCCTGGGTCCCCGTCAGCAGCCACATGGAGGCGGCACGGTCAGAGCCGGCCGAGCTGCGTCCGTCCCTCCTCCCGGGTAGTCAGCGCGGCCAAGCCCACTCGGCAGAGATGGAAACACAGGAGGCATCTGATAGTCAAGGAGGTGCTCCCCGCTCCCGCCGCCCTCTTCAACCTCTGCTCCTTCCACCCCCCGAGGGCCGGGCCATCCCTCTCGAGTCCCCTCCGGCTGACGGGCTTGACCCCTCTCCTCAGGAGGACGACAACATTGGGCTGATCAATCCTGCTGGCTCTGAGTGGCTGGATGGCGATGGGAAACCTGTGAAATGCCCAAGCCAAGTGACCGGAGCTCCGAGGGGACCCGGAGTCCCCGACGGCACCTACGGTCTGGGCGGAATGCCCTGAATCTCCCAACAGCCTCGCCCTCACGCGCCCGGCCGTCCCCCAGGACGCCGGCGCGGTCTCCTCTGGCCCAGCCCCTAGTCCGGGACTCCAACCTCCCGCCTCGGTGTCAGCGGCAAGAGACAACGTTCTGGAGCCCCTTTGCCTCTGCACAGCCTAGCGCCCCCTTTCCTGGCCCTGCTCCCGCCTTTGCTGCGGGGAGAGACGCTCGCGGACGCGCCGGGACAAGGGAGGACGCCCCTACAGGAGCAGGACACCATCTGCGCACCGCCGGACTACCCGCGCGCTCCAGGAGCAAGGGAAGGGAGCAGGCGAAGGGAGCGCTGCCGGAGGAGGGGGTGGGGGGCGGCGGTCACGTGATGCGCGCGGCTCCGCCCTCCACGCCGAGGGGGCCGAGGGGATGGCGCCATGTTGGCCCTTCCAAGCGCGACTGCCAGGGCTGGAGCGTGGGAGGCGCGGGGGTCCTGATTTGGCTGCAGTGGATGCGTTCAAAGCGCTTCCCCGGCTTCGCTTTATTTACTCCTGTGGTTACTGACCCTTATCTCTTCAGCAGGGGCTGCGTGAGAGGCTTATAATTACACTACAATGTCACCTGGGCAGGTATCCCAGTTTTTGGCCCCTCAGTGACGCCTTGGGTGTAGCAGAAGATGAAAGGTAAAATTTAGGAATACCGTGCACGGTTTCCTGGACCTTCTTACTGAGTCTCATTTCTAAAAGGTACACAGTATGGCCCAAGTCTGGTGCAATCCGAAGAATGAATACTTGGGGAGGGAGCAACTTCTGCCAGCTGATGCAAAAAGTTGAGAAGCTGGGATAACCAAGTGAACAAGAAACAGTAAAGAGTAGCTGAGTAGTAAAAGGAACGTGTACTGCATCCAGAGAAAGGATCTGGAGAAAAGGAGAAATGAGAGGAAAAGACAACTAAAGATGTGCTGTTTTGAAGTTTTGGAAATTGGTTTCTTTTTAATTAGTGAAGGAGTTGGTAGAGGGCTTTAACATACTGACTGATGGCGTTAGGTCCCCGCATACTAACTCTTAAGAATTGAGTAGAATTACAGAATTTCTTGGGGCACCTTGTTGGCCCAGTCAGTAGGGCATGGGACTCTTCATCTTGGGCTTATGAGTTCCAGCCCCATGTTGGGTGTGGAGATTACTTTAAAAAAAAAAAAAATTACCAAAATTCTTGGGGGTCTCAAGGCTGATCCTGCTACAATGTGACTATTTCACTTACAGTGTGCAAGACATGAAGTCTTTAAAGAGCAAAAAAGCCCTCCATGTCTTGTACATTATTGGGTTTCACAATATCTGCACATAATAATCCTCCATGTAAGCAGTTACTTTAAACATTTCAGAGGCCATAAAAAGAGGAGAGGCAAAAATGATGTAGTTTTGGAATGTTGGTGGTGTTGGGGTCCAGAGCCCACCGCCAAGAATTCTTAAGATGGCTTCCACGCAAAAAAAGGTGGTTTTATTAAAGCACGCGACAAGACCTTGGGCTGTTGCCCCAGAATTGTGAGGAGCAACTGATTATGTACTTTGAGGTTGGGGGAAGTAAAGGTAAAGGAAGTTCCCAAAGGATTTTCTTATGCTAAAGAAAACTCATAGGATACCCAAGGCCTTGCTATTGTCAAATGAAAGTTATTTTTCCCTCTACCAGTGCTTTAACATTAAGACAGTTGGGAGGTTCCTGGAGAAGCATTATACTCTGCCTGCCTCAAGTATTTGTCAATCTACATTTCCTTCTGCCTTTGTTTCCCACATCAAAATTACTGATCAATTGTGTATTTTTTTTAAAAAGCCATTTCTAGTAGTTAAAATTAGTTCTTAGCATCCAAACATATTTTTCAAACCCCTTGCACTATAATCATTACAAAACAAAATGTAGTAGTCATTCAGCAACATCCAGCATGTTCCTGTAGAAAAGGCTGAAGAATGTGTTTTGTAAATGAGTTGTTTAGTAGCAGTTGTAAAAATACCTCTTTACCTGCCACTCCCTATTCAAAACTACTAGGAAGAGGGGCGCCTGGGTGGCTCAGTCGTTAAGCGTTTGCCTTCAGCTCAGATCATGATCCCAGGGTCCTGGGATCGAGCCCCGCATCGGGCCCCGCATCG